ATTATAGTTATACATAATGGCATGGTTGATTTTGACGTAATGCTACATGCATGGAATATAATTTGCTTCATTTCAATTCCAGTACTTCCTCTTTCCCTCCTCTCCTCCCATCTCTGTTCCCCTTCCTCTATTCTCCTCATCTTCCTCCTACTTATTTATTGCTTTTTTCAATTGGTGCAACATAGGTAGACATAAAAGTGAAATTCACTGGATATATTCATATATACATGTATATAATATCATTTGTCAACTACACTCCACAGTTCCTACCTTCTCTCATTCTTCCTCCATCTCTTTCCTCTGTTCCTCTGGTCTTCCCTCTGTTTTCAGAGGATTCCTACTGGGAGGTAGTTAGGTCATTGGGATGTATCATGGGGATATTGGAACCCTGGTCCCTTTCTGCTTCCCTCTTTTGCTTTCTTGCCTCTATGAGATGAGCATCATTTTTCATATGCTCCCACCATGATGTACCCCACCACTAACAGACCCAAAAGTAATGAACCAACCAACTATAGACTGAATCCTCCAAAACCATAGTAAACCTTTCCTCCTTCTAAGTGGATTGTCTTGGGTATTTTGTCACAGTAATGAAAAGCTAAATAACACACAGGATAAATAAGGTATTTAATTAAAAATGGGTCAAGGAAATTCATATTTATACAACTGATAGGAAACCAGGAATGATTCAGGAGTGAAGTGGAAAGTGCTGAGAGGTGTTCTTAAGTGGGTCTAGTCCACCAGCACAGGAGCGTGGACTGTCCCCCTTTCTCCACAGAAAAGCCCTCTTCACCATGGCTGATTTTAGGACTGTCAGCAAAAGAGTCTCTGCGAAAGAGTCCAATGTAGATAAACTTCCTATTTTCGTGTCACCCTGTTAACTTGGCCACTGGCCGAAAAGATACCAGCACTCCAGGTGCTGGACACCCCCTTACTAGTTTTTCACAAACATATCCAGTATAGTACTTTGAAGAAATGTGCAAACAAGGCCTCTGGCCTTGAGCTGGGCTTCACAGAGATGTCTACATTTTTAAGATAAGTTACAAATGGGCTCCATGGTAACAGCTGGCAGGGGGAGGAAAGAAAGGGGAGAAGAAGCTCTCCCCTTCTCAGGTGTTGTCCTTGAAGAGTTAACTTGCCCAGAACAATGAAAGAAAAAGCTGCTTTTATGTGAACTTCTGCAGACTGTGAACTTCTGAGCCCCTCCCCTTACATGCTGGGTATAAAATTCTGAAACTCCCTGAACTCAGGGTTCAGGGGATTAATTGATTACAGTAAAAGCTGTGCCCCCTGAACCTGGCTGCGGCCAAATAAAACTGTTTCCTGCTATCTTTGGTGCCCTGCCTCTCTCCCTCTCCTTCCCAGTTTCCATGAGCTAAGCAGCTTTCCTCTTCCACACCATTCCACCATGATGTTCTTGACTATAGCAATGGAGCCAGCTGATCATGGACTGATACCTTCAAAACCATGAACCCAAATTAACTTTTCCTCCTCTTGTAACAGTGCTCCACTTTATGCTTTGAATATTACCCTTGCAGCTCTGTCCCTGCAACTGATTTTTTTAAATGGACATGTTTCTTTCTCTTCCTCTCTCCCTGCTCCTCTCAAATCTCTCCCCCTCCCTAATCTTAGGGGAAACAGGATTACCTTTCTTCCCCATCCTAGGTAGAGTTATCTGTCCCTAAGTACATACCCACCATAGGAATGAAATAATCCAGACTTTGGGGATGGTACTGGAAGATCTCAGAAATGACTATCTTCCAAATTAACAAGTGAATTACAACTTCAGAAAGCATGTGGAATGTAGTCTTTGAATCATCTCTTTAAAAGCCCCCTCTTCCTGCTGATGGGCAAAATCATAGCCTCTGGGACAGGAGTCCCTTGTGTTTCTCCTTTGCTAGCAAAGCAATAAAACTTCTTTTTCCTTTTCCTCAAAACCATGTCCTCATCATTATATTGGCATCAGGGAAAGGACCAAGCTTCCAGCAACACTCTAAGCTGTTCTCCACAAGTATTTTGGTCACACCAAAATGACTTAATACACATAATATGTGTGTATATATATATTATGTGTGTATATGTATACACATAATATGTAACAACAATGAAAAAAATATGGCTAGAGGTATAATTCAGTAGTAAAGTATGTGCTTAGACTAGCCAGGCCTTGAATTCAGTCCACAGCAACAAAAAAAGAAAAAATTAATAGGAAAAAACCAAAAACCTTGGTATGAGCTCATATGCCCATGCCAAAATACCACAGACTGTGTGGTTTAACGAACAGAAATTTGTTTTCTCATGGTTCTGGAGGCTGGAAGTCCAATATCAAAATTTTGTCTTCCCTTATTGGTGTGTAGATGGCCATTTTCCCTCTCTGCTCTACTCAAAGGTAGAAAGAAACCAAGTATCCATGAACAGATGACAGATAAACAAAAATGGAGAATATACATATGATGAGATATTTTCCACTTATGAAAAGACATAAAGTTCTAATACATGCTACAACCTAAAAGCATCGCACTATGTGAAAGAAGTGAGGTGCCAAAGGACAAGCATAGGTTTGGTAGAACACATTCCTAGAATGTGAGGTCCCCAGTTCAATCCCCACCCCACCCCCGGCCACACACACATACACACACGGACAAATATTGTATAATTTCATTAACATGAAATACCTAGAAAAGAAAAATTTATAGAGACACAAAGTAGCCAAGCCAAAGCACCTAGGAGGATGGAGAGAAGACATTTTCACTCCCCCATGGAACCCAGTGAGTAGCTGATGAGGACAACCTCAGCTTTAAAGTAATTCTCACAGAATTCCTTCACACCTAATTTGCTACAGAGCATTTTCCTCTGTGAATGTTTGATGTGCTGAAAACATGACAAGGGACAGTGCCCATTCTTGGCATGAGAGTCCCAGTTCCCACCATCTAATGAGTCAGGGCATCCACTGGAGATTGGATTGGTGGCTCCTACCTTATCTGTTTACAACTGATAACAAGGGAGAGGACCTCCCCCAAGGCAAAGGACCCACCTTCCCCCACTCCAGCTGTTCCCAGGCAACCTTTACTTGCTGGGCTTTGTTGATCACAAACATGGCAGCTCCTCAGCACTGAAATGCAAAACTCTTTTTGTAAAACCTTCGAGCAAATGAGACAACAAAGGACAACAAAGCTCTGCATGGAGTAACAGTATGGTGAAAAATAGTTTATCAGCAGCTTTATCACTGCAGGCACTCAGCCCTGCCCCATCCCCAGAGCTGATCTTAAGTAAACAGAATTGGGACATTCTGTTGCTGGCCTGCCTCTCTTCTCTTTCTCCCTCTCCCCTACCCCCTGCCAGGTCCTTGCACCCACCAGACAAGCCCTGTACCACTGAGCTACACCCCAGCCCTCATTTTCTGACTCAAACCTGTCTTGCAAGCAAACATTTCCTTTCCTTTTTCTACATTTTCCATTTATAAATTGCAGATTTTCAAAACCTTATTAGATATGAAACAATTCAACATCTGGGGTAAGTGCTTTTAAACAAGCAAGTGCTTTTAAACTCCACAATGAAAATAATTGTGGTACATAAGATTGGCAAAGGCTAATACTTAATTGGTGAACCTGAGTTTACTGATCATTCTCCCAGCTTGTGTATGTGTTTGGAAATGTCCACTGTAAAAAAGTTGAATGGGGGGATTAGATTTTAGATGTTTCTTTTTAAAACTTTAGTATTATCAGAAATATTTGTTTTCCACAGCATTCTGTTACATGGATGATTTTAAAACTTATTTATATAAAGAAATACAGTCCTTTATTTCAATAATTTTTATTTTAATACATAACACACTTAGTTCATACAGAAGTTTCTGTTAATTCAAAGTCATAAAATGTACTTACTTTTTACATATAATTAAATTAAATTACTTTTAACATTCTATTTAATAAGACTCACATTTAAATGTGTAAGAAATCAAATAGTGTCAAAGACTCAACTTTGGAAGAAACATGATTTTTCAAAAAAAAATTTTTTTTTTAAATTAAAGTCACACAACAATTTGTCACACTGAGTTCCAAGGTGTCCTTTTTATTGCTGATAAAAGAACCAGAGTTTCAGTTTAAACAATTAGAAATACTGAGACTTACAAAGTGCCAGGTGAGACATCCAAGTCTCTCTCTTCTTGGATTCAGATAGGCTCATCAGACAAATGTGTACAGCAGTTTCACCTGTGCACAGGGGACTCTGCATGCTATGACTAGTGGGTTTCTCATAATATATGTGCATTTTGCATTTTTCAAAGATCTAACTATCAAGAGGATTAGCCTCTAGAAAGTGTCAGTTTTACTGCCTTTTACCTGGGAGCAGGACTAGCACCTCTCCCAAAGGAGTGTTGTAGTAAACGGGTACAGCTGTTCCCAAACTGGGCAAAGTTTCCATCTATGGAAGTAAGGGATTGAAATGTCCTCCTTTACGTTCATGCTCACAATTCATGACTTCTGGGACCCCAGCTACTGGTTATGTCTCCTCTCCAGCTGAGCCCTCTCACAACTCCCAGTACACGAGAATGCAATAGAAAATCTCCATTTTTTTAATTTGTGTTAGAGTCTTAATTTTGTTTTCCAGTGATAGAAGATTTGTCACTTTGGTCACCAATGTTTTACCCCAAGGATTGGCCACCCCTGCTGAAGTTAGGATTGCAAATACTGCTGGGGGTGGGGGTGGGGGTGAGCCCATATCTCCACCCCCTCCTAGCCAGGACTCATTGAGGGACAGTCCTTCAGACTCCTGGATGTCACAGCAGGCCCTCGCCTATTGGGCTTCAACAGCAGAGCTCAAAGATCTCATCATTGCTTCTCTTAGACAAGACAGAGGGAAGGAAATGCCTGTGTTTTCCATACTTACCTATTCTATGTTCTGAGTAAAGATACCTTCCAATGCAAAAACTGCTCAGACACAACTTCCTTGGAAATTGATCTTCAATGTATTAATGACAGGAGACCAGGCGTGTCAGTGGGAAAATGACCTGGAGGCACCACGTCAGGTAAAACAGTGTCATTTAGAGCCAAGATGAGGGTTTAAAATTCTCAGGATAAATTGCAATGCGTGCATGACAGTTTCTTCTCATTAAAGGAAGTGTGCACTTGAATCTCAAAATCTTTCTAGCTATGATAACATTAGTCAAAATATACAAGTAACAAACTGATTACATTTACTGTGCTAAATATTTTGTGTAGTTATGTATGATTGCACTACATTTTTATATGTATAATATGAAGTTCTGCTTATACTCTTTCAAACTTTAATACTTTTCTTTAAATATTCTAGGCTTCTCTTTATGATGGGTTTGGCATTACAGAGCATCCATTTGGGAAACAGTAAGATGCATTTTATTCATAGTCTCAGTTTTCATTTCATGAAATATGTTTCTCAATCCTTATCGGTCTAATATTTTTAATGTTTTTGAAAAGGTTATCAAAGAAGGAAACATAAAGGTGGCAGAGAAGAAGCAAAAAATTTTGCAGCCCCCAAATTCCAGCAGACAACCCTCAACTGGACTCTGAGTACTTTCAGGGAGGTGAATGGGAGCGAAGAGGACTGGTGGCTGCGGGGTTCTCCCTATTCCAGAGCTTATGGAGAGCGTAAGTTTAGGCGTCCCCGACCCCGGAAACATTTTTCTCCAAAGTCGGTGGACTCATATATAGGGTCTCGAAAAACAGAACAAAACAAACTAACAAAAATCCGTGGGATAAATTGGGGATAAAAATAAGAAACCCCAGAGAGAACATCTCGGCATGTTCAAGTTATGAATCACTGCAAAGCAAAAATATATTTCCTAGTGAGAAATTTCCTCCTTTAAAAGTTTGACTATTTCATTGGCAAAACGTTGCATTTGATCTCCAATGGTTATTTTCCACAGGTCTAGAGAACTGTGACTTAAATGTGTTTAAGACAAACGTTCCAAACCAAGATAATAGCGGACCTGGTTTGGCTTATCGCACACTCTGGGGCTCCAGTCTCCGCGTCCCCAGGGGGCCTCTCTGGGTTTGGCGTCACCACACCCGTGGGTGGTCCTGCTTGGGAGGCCTGTCTTCTTCAATCCCTGTCGAGTAAAGCCACTGACTTTAACATGTGAAAAGAGAGAGAAAAATCCAATTTGCTGTGTGTCACCGGACTCTGCTGACCTCCTGCACCCCGGGTAGTTTGTTTTTAATCCCTAAATTAACAAGCAGGGTTTGCCCAAGCAAACACCCTTAGCGGAAAGCTTTATTGCCTCCACGGGGCGGTCACGAGTTCGGCCAACTCTCCCCGGGACCAGGAGGAGCGCCTGCACTGTGCGCTGGGATTAAACTTGAGCGACACCCACCTACCCACCCTCCCCGCCTCCACAGGTGCGTCCCTGCGACAGCGCTGCTGCTGGAACGGCGGCACCTGTGTACTGGGCAGCTTCTGCGTGTGCCCAGCCCACTTCACAGGCCGCTACTGCGAGCACGACCAGAGACGCAGGTGGGCGCTGGGGACCGGGGGACGCGACCCAAGGAAGGGGCAGGAGGGGGCGCTGCGGGCAGGGTGCGTGGACCTAGGCACTGATGCCTGGTGTCCGCCTCCTCAGCGATTGCGGCGCCCTGGTGCATGGAGCCTGGACCTTCAGTGGTTGCCGCCTGTGCAGGTGCGTCTTTGGGGCCCTACATTGTCTTCCCCGCCAGACGTTCGGCCGCTGTGGTAAGAGGACCCGAGACTTCTGCTCTTGACACACTTGTGCGTTTGCGCCTTTTTTGTGGTTCATCCTGAGTACGGACTCAAACAACAGCTTCCTGTGCCAAGCGACCCAGAAATAAGAAACTAAATTCATTCCTGAAGAAAACCACACTCATTGTAACTTACCCAGTGAATTATTATTATTATTATTATTATTATTATTATTATTATTATTTACTAATTTTGTTTAAGGTTTCTCATGTCCGGATTGCTGGGTTTAACATGTGCGTTCTTTACTGTGCGCGCAGCTTCCAGCGATGACAAGCTGGTAAGCAGTGTTGAACCTGGGAGTCAGGGTAGCTGAATAAATCTCTGAAAATGTCCCTACACTGGCCAATACCATCTCTTCCCGCCAGAGGGCACTGGAACCAGAAGGGATCAGGCCTCGGTTCTGGAGGCTTGGGCAGTCGCACCCTTTCTCTTGTCAGGCTGCAAAAGCTAATTGAGGTGGCACCACGTTTCAATCCAATAGCCCGGGCCCTGTCTCTTTTCAATACTGCTTTTCAACAGGTGCTAACTGGGATGAGCAGTGGTAAGCACAGTCAGTGAAGACACCGCCCTTCAACCCAAGTCATGGGCCTCTGTTTGTGTCATCCTCGGTAGTTTGTGCAGTGTGTCCAGAGGGGAGACTAAGGCCAAAGCCTCTTTCCTGCCCTTCCCTCCACCTCAGTCAACTACTGGGCTCTTCCAGCAGTGGAGCGACACAGTTAATATTTGCACTGCCCCTCAATTCCACTTCTCTCCCCCTCAAACAAGACAGCCAGGACAACCAGGAGGGAAAGCCCTTCATCCCCATTTACTGTCTTCTCCTCATTCTGACCTTGGTGGGTCCTTAATGGAGAAGCACACTCAGTGAATGCTCAATTTCTAACCCACCTTCTCACGCCTCTTTTCTTCTGAGTGGGACCAGGAGTCAAGGGAGTCTAGGCACAGCTCTCATTCCCTCCTGGCCCATCACTCACTCCCTTCTCCTCAGCTAGTTTTGCACCTGCAAGTGGAGAGGAAATTCTAGCACCTTATTCATCTCTCCCTCCCTTTCATGCAAGCTACATTTCCCCAAAGTCCTCTCTCTCCTATGGTCTGTCCCATTTGCTGGGGCCATGCCTCTGATTCACCAACTGCTCCTACTATGATCAGAGAGTGAAGGACATAGATTTTAGGTACAGGCATCAGAATTACACAGAGTCCCTCACAGATGAAGTCAGATTCCACCTGCAAGCGCTTCCTCAGCAGGAATTTGAGGAAGGTCATAGCTGGAGTCAGGCTTCTATGCAAGGCCATCAGGTCAGGAACTGGGTTCCAGTATTATCTTAATCACTATTTTATATCATTCAAAGCATCTAGGGCTGATACTGCTGTCTTTCTGCGAAGAATAATCACAACAGTTTCTGAAAATGTGACTTCTGTTCATCAAAACTGGATAAAATAGTACGGTGCAGTCTCATTTCAGAGCAGTTTGTCAGGTGCAGAAAAAAGGGTAACACCATTATGCTGGTTGACCTATTCTGCTCTAGGCGAGTTAAAATGGTGATGATGACGACTGCTAATAGTGATCAAATGGCAGGATGTGACTGATAATGATGGTGATAACTGCATTTGTTAGCTCTTTATGTTTCAGGCACTTTATACCTATTATCTCATCTAATTCTCATAACAGCCTATGAAGTATATTTTATACCTTTTTATATTTGAGGAGACTGAGGCTTAGAGAGAAGTTAACTCCCATAGGTAGCAAATAGGACCTGATTCTTAACCACTGTGCCATTCATGTAAGACTAATTCTCAATATGAAAAGAATGAAGATTTTTTTAAATATATTTTTTAGTTGTTGATGGACCTTTATTTTATTTATTTATATGCAGTGCTGAGAATTGAACCCAGTGCTTTACACGTGCTAGGCAAGTGCTCTACCACTGAGTTACAACCCCAGGCCAGAATGGAGATATTTTTGATAGTGTTGCTTAGCATATTGAAAATGTGGCTATGGTCTAAATCCTTTAATAGCTTTTTATGATGTTTTCAAGAGTATATGGGAGATAGATAGAAGAAAAACTGTATTCACAATATCATTTTAATAGTAGGGAAAGACATCTATGCATGGGAGGGATTGAAAATAGATAATATGACGTAAAATTATGCTACTCCACCCACTCAGAAATTTTCAGGCTGAGGGTCTCCAGGGGTCACTCTGACTGATGTTCGAGAATAAAAGGAGTCTTTGCTTAGACCTTAAACCAGCTCAAGCTCATCTCAATTAGACCAACAGGATGGCTACCTATGAAGCAGAGAACCAAGAAATTGTCATTAGCATCAAGAACTAATTGAAAGGCTGGTGGTGTAACTCAATGGTAGAGCACTTGTCTGGCACGCAGGGGGGACATGGTATGATCTCTAGCAGTGCAAAAACAAGGAAAAAAAATCCAAATACTCTAGGGATGATGGTGGAGCTCAAGACCCTAGGTTCAATCCCCAATGCTAAAATAGATTTTTTTAGTATTAATTTAAAATTTGGTACCTATGTAATGGCCCAGTGAAGTAGCAAACTCAAGAGATAGACAGGTAACACAAATGTGAGGTGGGGCCAAGTCAAGCTACTCAATTTTATTTTATATTTACTTATTGTAAACTCAGTTGTTTTTGAGAGAGAGAGAGAGAGAGAGAGAGAATTTTTTAATATTTATTTTTCAGTTTTCGGTGGACACAACATCTTTATTTTATGTGGTGCTGAGGATCGAACCCAGCGCCCCGCGCATGCCAGGCGAGCGCGTTACCGCTTGAGCCACATCCCCAACCCCTGTAAACTCAATTTTTTTTAAAAAAATGCATTTCTGGCAAAAAAATTAATAATAATAATCAACAAACAAATTAGCAAAAATTAGCCAGACTCAGCCTTTCGGATTCCGTAAGGATGGCCTTAAAGGTCCTAGAACCCAGTCAACTCTGAGCCTTTGTCCTACCTTCCTAGGATATTATCTGTGACTGGTGTCATTTCTGTGGGCAAGCTTTCCTGGGTTTGAGGGCAGGCGAGGAAGCCTTCTGGCTCCCAGGGGATTCTAGGGTAGCTACAAATTGAAGAATTTAAAAAATGCTGGGTTTGGCCCTCATATTGAGAGGTGATATTATCCTCATTCATTGTGGTCTTCAAAAACTTCATTAGTAAAAAATAATTTGAGTATACTCCCCATTCATCAGTGAAGACACTGTTACCATGCTGAGCCCACACAAACTTGATTTCATTTATATCTTCCTTTTCACATATGCACAAGACTCATAATGACAAAGATCTCTGCTATGTCTAAAGTCTAGGAAGTACCTTCTCTATTTTTATTTTCTTGTACTGGGGATTAAACCCACTACCACTCTACCACTTAGCTACATCCCCAGTCATTTTTATTTTTTTTATTTTGAGACAGGGTCTCACTAAATTGCTGAGACTGACCTTGAACTTGTGGTCCTCCTGCTTCAGCCTCCTGAGTTCCTGAGATTACAGGTGTGCACCACCATACCCAGCTGAGAAGGACCTTTCAATAAGTATATAATAATACTCCCAGTTCACAGTAATAAACCATCCATTGGTAGAAGAGTTTCCTTTTGGTGTGACATAAAATGATGGAGAATAGCAAAATCATTGATTTTATCAGTTTTAGTAAGCACCATAAATATTATTAAATTATATTTTTAATTTTTTCCATAAATCTAGAATTGGAAATTCTAATATTTTTCTTTATAAACTCATGAGTGACCTCAGGCCCTCTGGGGAGCACATTCCATGGTGTTCACATCTCCAATCTGGGGACCCCTAACTGAGCAGCTATCTTAGTCTAACCCTCTTTACAGATTCACAAAGCTGACTAAAGTCACAGCCAAGGGGGCCTGAATTCTCCTGTTAGGGAAGCCTGCTCTCTTCTCCCAAGGGGAGGTCATCATGGACCTAATACTGACTCCTTTCTCATCAGAAGAGTTTCTGATCAGGTGTAAGGACCTGTCAACATCAGTCTCACCTGGACCCAGCTGGTAGGCTCCCTGTTTGGGGAATCTGGCACTCTCATCCACGGTGGGGTGATACAGGGAGGTAGCACTCAGTCCTGGAGTGGGCCTGACCTTGGTCCCTGGAGCTAGACTCTGGGCAGATCACACTGTGGCCCACTTTCGCACAGGTCTGGGGAGCCCCTGCTGCCACTGCTTGTCCAATCACTGGTTCACTATTTGTGCCTGTCTGGGGCAAGCCACGCTGGCATGTGCTAAGTAGCCCGGCCAGACACCCACCCCCAGTCTTGATGTGAGAATGATGTGATGGAATTGGTAACTTGCCTGTGGGGTTGGCAGGTTCATATGGTCATCACCACTGAGGATTTTAACCAAGATTCCTGCCCAGCCCCACCACCTCAGAAATTCCCATTCAGCTGCCCAGGGCTGGGGTCCCAGGCTCAGAGAACCAGAAAGGGGACTCCTAGGGTACAGATGAGTGAGGACTGTTGTGGAGGGGGGCTGCAGAAGGAGGTGCTCAGGTATGCTCCTGTGTCCTGGTGGTGAAGGGGGGTTGATGAACAGGCAACAGGTGAACCTAATGATCATGATCAATGATTTTTCGACCCACTGTTATTTTATGTTATACTCAAAAGGAAACTCTGATACTGATGGATGATTTACTATGACCTTGTATATACATTTATCTGTGGGAAGGCACTCCTGAGCTATTTAGCGTCTTCACTCAGCCTTGAGCCAAGGAGATTTTGGTCTGGCATTATATGCTATTTTGTGGTCCCTCCCACTTAAGGGATACACAATACACGTGACTTCAGTCTTCATTAGGCTAGGAAGACAGATCTCCTAGCTCCAGAGTTGGGCGTGACCCACTGGGAACTGGACAGCCCACCTCCTACCTTAATTGACTAAGAACATCTGTGCAAAAGCTTTAAAGTTCCCCCATATAAATAAAACAAATTCAGGCTCTCACTTTCTCTTTCCAGCATGGAAGCTCCACCCTTAAAGTGGAAGAGCTGTCCTGCCCCCACTCTTTAAATCTATTTTCTGTGGCCTGTGATTTTTTTTGCCATATTTCTCAGCCAGTCCACTCCACGAAGGGGAACCCACTTTCTGTCACCTGTGTGGGCCATGGGCAAGATTTATTAAAAGGTCCAGAGATTTTCATCATGTCTGTGAGTCTTGTTCATGTCTGGAAGGGAAGATGTAAATAAAATCAAATTTGGGGCTGGGGATGTGGCTCAAGGGGTAGCATGCTCGCCTAGCATGCATGAGGCACTGGGTTCAAATATCAGCACCACATAAAAATAAAATAAAGATATGTGTCCACGGGCTAGGGATGTGGCTCAAGCGGTAGCACGCTCGCCTGGCATGCGTGCGGCCCGGGTTCGATCCTCAGCACCACATACAAAGATGTTGGGTCCACTGAAAACTAATAAATAAATATTAAAAAAATTCGCTCTCTCTCTCTTAAAAAAAAAGATATGTGTCCACCTAAAACTAAAAAAATAAATATTAAAATAATAATAATAATAAAATAAAATTTGTGCACACTCAACTGTGCTTCCACCACTAAATGGGGAATATGCTCAAGTTGTTGTTTAATTTATTTATTCTAATTTGTTATATATGACAGCAGAATGCATTTCAATTCATAGTATACATATAGAGCACAATTTTTCATGTCTCTGGTTGTATGTTTGTTCTTTGACTAACAAAGTGAGAGATTAAAAAAAGTTAAAAAATTTTGTAGCCACCTTGGATGTCTTAATGTGAGGGATGTACCCAGCATTCCTGAAATGTTCCAATGAATGATCGTGACTTTAGGAATTGCTGCATCCTCCTATTTAATAAACTCTGTTCCTACTTACAAGCAATATTGTTAGAACTAATCTGGGGAAAACTTGGACTATCTTTGCAGCAGATGGTTTGAAGGCTGTTTTATTTTGTTGCATTGTTTTAAGTCTGTTCTACTGGTCCCAGTTGTTAAATGGCACACTTCCCCTAGCTGAGTTCTGGCAGGGCTGCCCCTGAACACTGTGCTCCAGTGAGATCTCCTCTCAAGGAGGCATTGAACACAGATTCCGCACACCCCGCCATCCACCTCCCAAACTGCCAGCCCTGAAGCAGGGCCCAAGAGTCAGATTCTGGTGAGGAGGGCAAGGCAGAAGAGTGCCTTTAGAAGAACAGGTACAAGCATTTCTATTTCATTCCTTTAAGCCAGGTGTATAACAGTGTATTCTCCCTGTTCTTTTTCAGATTTGAAAGACTTTCTCCCCTCACATGCCAATGGGCCAAGCTCATATAGTTTACTGAGTTTTCTCCTCCTGCTGTCCTGTGCCCTCCTGCAGTGCCTTGTCTGTGAAGGAGACTCTAAGTGAACAGAAGCTCCCTCTTGGGACTTGGAAGACTAAACCTTGATTATGGTACAAGAGCCACTGTGTTCCCAGTAGGAAAGCCAGGACTTGGGCATCCTCTTTAATTTTCTCTTGTAAATAATAGAATTGCTTACTCTTCTACAAAGTGAACCATTAGGTGAATATTTGTACTATGTAATAAATATGAAAGAGCCTTTCTTGCTTCCTGAGCCTTATTTTAAGTTCTGCATTGAGTTCATGCATGAATATTACAGTGTGGGCTTGTTGAACCCAGAATTCCTCTCTAATAGTTTCAGAGTGTACATGAAGAGGCCCGACAGACTTTAAAGACAATGCCACTCTCTGAGAAGCCCTCATTCCCAGTGTCTTACTAATACCACATCTCATCCATTTGTTCACTGTCAGTCCAATGTGTGTGTGTGTGTGTGTGTGTGTGTGTTCCTGTGCTGTGGATTTGACTAAGAGCAACTGCCTAAAAATGTTCCCTGAATAGAGAAAGTCAGGGGAGAGGGAGCAATTGCAGGAGCAGACAGCCTGGCACCCATGGCTCCTTTTCTGCAGCTATAATTAGCACCTTCCTGGGATGATCACAACATCCCCATAAAGGGAAGAATCTTCAGTAGCTGCAGACCCAGTAAGGCTAGGAAGGGGACCAATTTGGTTTGAAGAGGCCCAACAAGGGTCTCCTGGCAGCACCATGTAGGAAACAGATGCTAAACTGTATAAATAACTTTGGAAACACAAAAAGAGGGATAAAGTGCTGTCTTCTAGCAAGTCATAAGGTATCTGAGAATCTCTTGTCTTCTACTCTGGCTTCCCACTGATTGGTCAACTGCCCTATTTGGACAGAGACCACAGCTGGAAATCAGGAGAGTGAGAACAAGTAGATATTCCAAGTTATTCACAGAAAAGAAGCTGGGCATGTTAGTGCACACCTGTAATTCAACTACTCAGGAGACTGAGGTAGAAGGATGACAAATTTGAGGACTGTCTGGGAAATTTAGCAAGAACAATTTGAAAATAAAATATGAAAGGGGCTAGGGATATACCTCAGTGGTTGAGCTTTTGCCTAGCATGCATAAGGCCCAGCCCATTAAAAACAAAACAAAACTCAGAAAGCCACTGGAATAGGTAATACAGCCTGATTGATGAATTAACTGATCAAAAGACTGCTATTTTATAAACCTTATGAACTTCATTTAGAATATGTAAAGCTAATGGTTTAGCTAAGTGCTTGCTTAGTCCTGGTTCCATCTCCAGCACCACACATACACACACACACACACCAAAAAAAAAAAAAAAAATTCTAAGCTGAATTGAAAGGAAAAGTCAAGACAAGAAGGTGCTGTTATACAGAATGTCCCTGTTGAGCATGTGCCTCAAGTAGAAGAAACTTCCACCAAGTTGTTCAGCTTCTTAAATCCACTTTAGCTCAGAAGCCTATGAATTATAGTATTTAAAAATTTTATATTGTAAATAAATTTATTGGCATTTTTGACCTTTTCAACTATTGGCTATGAAAAAAATGAACTGAATGTAATGTTCACATAAGTGTCAAAGTAAAACAATGTAGAATTTAAAAACCAAAACAAAACAAAAACAAAAAAAATGTAAAATTTAATAGAAGGTTGCCTTAGAGTTCCTTGATTCATGAGAAAAATAATTATTCAAGTTATGAGACATAAATATTTCTAGGCAGTAATCATTTCTTATCCCAAAGTTGTCTTCAAATTTTTTGAAGTACTTTCTAGGCAGTACCTTCTATTGGAGTTTAGTAAGTATAGGAATAAACAAGTGAAAAACTTTGCACATTTATCCTAAAAACTCTATGAGCCGGGCAAGGTGGCGCATAACTGTAATCCCAGAGGCTAGAGAGGCTGAGATGGGGGGATTGCAAGTTCAAAGCCAGCTTCAGCAATGGCGAGGTGCTTAGCAACTCAGTGAGACCCTGTCTCTAAATAAAATTCAAAATAGGGCTGGGCATGTGACTCAGTGATTGAGTGCCACTAAGTTCAATTGAAAAAAAAAAAAAAAAGAAACTCAATGAATATGTTTATGTCATGTATAAAATTGGTGTTAACAAATGCCACCCCCCGCTTTTTTAACACTAGTTCCAAGTGTGCTGAAAAACCATTGCCAGAGGAAAAAGAAACGCATCTTATTTTTAATAGCTGCACTTAGGAAACTGAACTAAGAAAACTGCTCCACATTTGAGAGGCTGCAATTGTGGTAAAAAGAAAACCAAGACTTAATCATGATAAGGATGAATACATGGGGTATAAGCACTTATTTGCTTTAAATAGAAATTAGGAACTGAATTATAAATCCTTGTAATATAATCTTTTTTTTTTAGATCAAACCCAGGGCCTTGCTCTTCCTAAGCAAGCCTTCTACCATTGAGGCACACCCCAGCCCATAATTATTGACTATATGCAATAAAATAGAAGTCTATCTATCATCTATCTATTTATATCTACTCATCCACCCATTTTTCTAATCAAATAACATCCACTTAGGAAGCTGTTACTCAGCTCTGAAAAGTTCATAAAATCTCATCCAGGAGTTTTTTTCTGTAATGCTTGAAGAATTTGAAAATAAGATTCAGTTTTTCTGTCAATGGCACCTCAGGTGTTCAGGGAGACTATTAAAAAGGAGCAACTTTCCTGAGACAAAAGAGCAACCCAGGGCCTTGGGTTGAAATGTTCACATGGAATTGTCCTAGATCTTATCTGCCTGTCTCCTGCTGTTGACAGCAGACAGCCCTCCTGGCCTAGTGCTTCTGAGCCTCTGTGCCTGTGATATGCCTTTTCACACCTCCTGGGTCTGATCATCCTTACAGAGAGTGACAGGCCTCCCTTCCCTTCCCGGATTATTGTCTCTCCCTGCTTTTCCCCTGGAAACCACAATGCGGTCTCTTGTTGGGGGTTGGAGATGTAGCCGAGTGGTGATTGTGCATAGAAGCCACTCCTTCCTTGCCTGTTCAGTTTGCTCAGTTTACCCTGGAATTTCCTAGAAAACCAGGATCTGTCACTTCATGCCCACATGTACTCTCTTTGAGGGAGCCACTCAGGGACACTAAGAGAAGAAGTAGAATTTATATCAGTCACACTGGGCAGCCTGCTCCTGCAATGGAGTTTACCTTAAAAGCACAGCAAAGGACTATCAGCTGAGGGGTCCCCTGTTCCTTTTGGCCACCTTATGATTTTCCCGCTAGTGTGGATGCAAACTGACTCTTTTTGGCTTGGGACATTCAAAACCAGCTTCTGGTTATATTTGCGGGGTTTGTTATTGTTGTTGTTATTGTTTGCTTGCTTTTGTTGTTGTTTTGTTTTTTAATTTTTTTTAGATGTTAATGAACCTTTATTTTCTTCATTTATTTATATGTGATGCTGAGAATCGAACCCAGTGCCTCATACATGCTAGCCAAATGTTCTGCCACTGAGCCACAACCCCAGCCCTGTATTTGCAGTTTTTGTTGTCTGCAAAAGCTACTCTGGTACACACAGCTTTATATAACACAGGCAGAAAGTTCTGGGATTGACCTTTCATGCAATTTGGGGGTTTTCTCCCTATTCTCCTTTCCTTTAATCCTTTTGCAAAGCTGGGACCAAACCAAGGGCATCTGAGAGGTTGAGGCAGGAGCATAGCAAGTTCAAGTCAAGCCAGGGCAACTTGGCAGGACCCTGTCTCAAAATAGAAAAGAACTTAATAAAGGGCAGGGGATGTAGCTCAGAGGTAGAGCACCCCTGAGTTCAATCCCTAGTTCAATCCCAACATATTTGCAGTATATTGGTAAATAAGTAACCCCCAAAACAAACAAACAACACCCCCCTCAACCTCAAAACACAAAATACCCAAGGCCTCATGGAAGTTAGGCAAGCACCCTACCACTCAGTCTCCCAAGGCCTGGAAGAATTATTTATTTATTTATTTGCAGTACTGGGAATTAAACTTAGGAGTGCTCTACCCTCAGCCCTTTTTATTCTTTTATTTTGATACAAATTCTCTCTAAGTTGCAGAGGCTGGTCTCAAACTCTCTATCCTCCTGCCTCAGCCTCCCGCATCACATGTATTATTGTTGTAGGGACAGAGGAGGCAAGGCACCAAAGGTAGTATGAAACAGTTTTATTTAGCTACAGCCAGGTTTAGAGGGCACAGCTTTTGCTGTAATCAATCAATCCATTGAACCCTGAGTTCAGGTAGTTTCAGAGTTTAATACCCAGCATGTAAGGGGAGGGCCTCAGAAGTTCACAGTCTGCAGAAGTTCACATAAAAGCAGCTTTTCTCTCACTGTTTTGGGCAAGTTAACCCTTCAAGGGCTGGGGATGTGGCTCAAGCGGTAGCGCGCTCCCCTGGCATGCATGCGGCCCGGGGTTCCATCCTCAGCACCACATACAAACAAAGATGTTGTGTTCGCCGAAAACTAAAAAATAAATATTAAAAAAAAATTCTCTCTCTCTCTCTCTCTCTCTCTCTCTCTCTCTCTCTCTCCCTCCTCTCTCTCTAAAAAAAAAACAACAACAAAAAAAAGTTAACCCTTTAAGGACTACACCTATGAAGGGGAGAACTTCTTTTCTCCTTTCTTTCCTCCCCCTGCCAGCTGTTACCATGGAGCCCAATTGTAACTTATCTTAAAAATGTAGACATCTCTGTGAAGCCCAGCTCAAGGCCAGAGGCCTTGTTTGCACATTTCTACAAACTACTATACTGGGTACATGTTTGTGAAAAACTAGTAAGGGGGTGTCCAGCACCTGGAGTGCTGGTATCTTTTCGGCCAGTGGCCAAGCAAATAAGGTGACGCGAAAATAGGAAGTTTATCTACGTTGAACTCTTTTGCATAGACTCTTTTGCTGACAGTCCTAAAATCAGCCATGATGAAGATTTCTGGAGAAGCCCAGTTAAGACTTTTCTGTGGAGAAAGGGGGTGCCACTTCATTATAAGTGTGCACACTAGGTCCTAGAAAAATTCTTTTCTTTTTTTGTACCAGGGATTGAACCCAGAG